CAGAGCCTGCCACAGGAGGAGGGACGGAGGTGACCCCGTTTGGTCCTGCCCCGGGCCATTTCAGACAGCTAAGAATAGTCCTGAATCCAGGTGTTGCTTCGTAAGCGTTGTTTAAGGGACCGGCCCGCAAGGATGGCCAGGGTCTCTGACCAGTGGCTCAAAGCCCTGTGTCGTCAGTCTTTGCTTGACCAGCGAGTCAGCAGCGTGCCCTTCTTCACACTCTGTCCCCCCGTTGAGCAGCGCATTTCAGGGACACCTTCTCGGATTAGTTAGAGCACCTCTGATGCAAGAGACAGAGGCCGATTCAAACTAGCTTAAAATAGTTTATTGGCTAACAAATGAAATGGAGTCCAAAGGAGTAGCCGGACTTGAGCAGAGCTACAGCCAGGCCTGGTTCAAATGCAGTCCTTGGGGATCTCTCTCTGTCTCTGTCTCTGTCTCTGTCTCCACCTTACACAGAGTGAATCCACTCGACAAGCAGGGTATCTGTGACAGGTCAAGACTTACATCACAGCACTCAGCAACCCAGAGCGGGGAGCCAACCTGTCGTGACAGCTCGGGGAGAAAGTGTCTGGAGAGAAGTCCCATTGGCCCCCTTCCAGGTCACATGCTCATCTCTGACCCAGTCACTGTGATTAGCCAGACCCGCTGCAAGCCCACCCCTGTGGCTACGGTAGGGGCCAGGAGCTGCCGTCAGAGCACATTGAGGGGGTTTCTCCGCAGAAAATGGGGCTCAGCGGTAGCCTCTACTGCGCCATGACCAGTCATGTTCACACCTTGCCTCGGTCGCCATGGATAACCACTCCTTCCTCCTGGACACACCGTGTCTAGTGTCCAGCACACCCCACTCTCCTCGTTGCCTTCTCGCGGGGCCTTTCCCTGGCTTTCCTCATCTCCTCCTGCTGCACCCCTGAACCTCAAGACGGACCTCTCTCTCTCCGCTGCCTTCCGTGTGCACTCTGAACGTAATCTCCTTCAAGCCTGTGACCTTATGTGACACCTACTCACTGTGGGCACCAAGTTCATATCTGACTGCTGTCCTCCTGTGAGCTCCAGACTCTATTTGGAGTCCTCCCCACGTGGGTGACCAACAGGCATCTCAAGGAAAGACTCCAGCACTGAGTCCTAGTTGGCACCCCCAAAGTGCTCTCCGACCCCTTCTCCTTGCCGTGAATGATTGCAGTTGCTCAGACCAAACATCTCAAAAACGTCTTCGTCTCCATTCACGCCCATACGCCACATCCAGGTGACCAACAAGCCATGGCATCCCCCAAGGATGGACTCTATTACTCACGGCCTCCACCATTGCCCGTCTGGGCCAAGTCATAGCGAGCCTCACCACGGGTGTGATCCCAATCGCCTCCTAACCGGGCGCCTGTCCCTGCCTTGTTCCCACACTGTTCGTGAAAGTCAGCAGTTAGAGTGAACCTGGGAACATAATCAGACAATGGCCTCCTCCAGCTAAGACCTGAAGCGACTCTCAGCTCACCCAAAATAAAACTCTTCAGAGCAGCCTGCAAAGCCCTACCTCCCCACACACCCCTCCCACTTCCTTCCTGACAGTTGACTGCCTTACCCCACTCCATCAGCTCCAGCCTCATCAACTTCCTTGCCATCTCTCTCATTCACCAAGCACAATTATACCTCAGTGCCTTTGCACTTGCCCTTCCCTCTGTCTGGATCCATCTTGCCCCAGATATCTACATGGCTTCCTTCTTCATGCCCATCATTAAATATCATTCATTAATATATCCCTCATTAATATAATAATATATAATATATATAATAATAATATATAATATAATAATATATCCCTTCATTAAATATCCCTCTCCATGCACCCTTCACTGGCCACCCCGATCAAGAACTGCAAACCCCCTCCGGACTCTGGCACTTCTCGTCTTCTCTTACAGCTTTGTTTTTTTCTCCATTGTAATGATTATATTCTAACACACTTATCTTTTAAATATATTTTAACTTACTTATGTAGTTTAATTGGGTACTTATTTATTTTAATCTTTGTCTGTTCCCCCCGCTCTAGACTCTGCTGGGGAAGGTGATTTTGTCTGGGTGTCCAGTGCAGTATCCCCACCACCTAGGGCTGGTATGATAAGCCTTCAACAATTTGGTGAGTGAATGAGATGGAGTGACTTTCTCAGTCCTCCGATCTAGTCCCCACGGGGGCCACCTTCTTGCCTCACGCTCTTGGTCTCCTTGGCCAACAGTGTGCACATGGGGCCAGGAGGCAGCACAGAACTACTACCCAGGTGGAGGTAAGATGGCAGCATGTGGCCAAGAAGGGTGAGGCCAGACCCAGGGGGCAGGTAGGAGGGTTGGACAACAGGGAAATGTGGGTGGCCTGTGACATTCCCTCATGGATGGGGCCCAGTGGGAGTCATCAGGTGGGCACAGGGCAGCTGCCGGGTCCAGGCAGGGCAGACCAGGGGACCGAAATCATGAGACCCGCTGAGGTCAAAATGGATCGGGGCCAGAACACAATGTCTGGCAAATCCAGCCATGGAAGCAGGCGATCGGTCATCCTTTCTGGTCGGGGCTGATGTGAGCTCTTAAAGGATGCCAGGCTCTCCCTGCAGGGCAGTGCCTCTCTTCCCTTAAAGGCTCAGCTCCTTATTTCTTTCACTTGACAGGCTGCACCTCTCCAGGCAGAATCCCTGGTCTGGCAACACCGGGGTGAGGGGTCGCCTCCACTGGCCTGGCCCATGGGGGGGGAATGCACCACCCTACCTCCCCCACCTACAGCCAGGCCACCAACTTCCCAACTCCCCAGCACACAAAGCAAAGTTTTATAGAGTGTAAAGGTACCTTAGAGACCTTCCAAGCCCAATAGCCTCATTTTATCAGTTGGAAACCAGAGGCCCAGAGCCCAGGGGGTTGAGGCAGCTGCATGGATAGCACCCAGGGACAATGTCTGGCCGCGGGCTCCTTACCCAAGACCGAGCCATTGCAAGTAGCCTCCATCCCAGCGGATGGGCTGAGCACAGGCCCGGCCTGGCTGCTTTACCTGTGAATTAGAAGCTCGCTAATGCTCCAGGAATTTGCAGCGTGATGGATGAAATTGTGCAGCTGACTGCAGAGGAGTGTGTTTACCCCACTCTCTTGCTCTTCTCTCCATTCCCCATTTTGTGATGGGATCGGATGAGGTCACTCCTCTGCCTGATGAAACCCTCGGCCCTCGCCAAGCTGCTGCTCTCTCTAAGCTCATTATCTGACTGGCTCATACTTTCCCAGGGGTTGCAAGGAGGAGGAAAGGTAATTAAGTGTTTTGCTTAAATGGCCTTTTCAGTTGACAGAAATAGCTGCCCAGGGATGTGGTGGACGCTCCTTCCCAATTCCCTCCCTGCAGCTGCCGGGCGGCGGGCCGAGTGCAGGCACCAAAGGCCAGGGAGGGAGCCAATGACGGTGCAAAGGCCAAATGGACCAAGGCCGCTGCCTTCCCCCGCTAATTACTAAAGTGGATCATCTGCAGGCAGATAATGGAGAAGAGTAAAACAAGCCCAGGTTGGCCTTCTCCCCTCGTGCTCGGAAAGCCTCCGATTCCTGTGCACGTGTGACCTTGGGTGGCATGTGTGATCAGGCCAACACGAAACAGGGTTCTCTCTGGCCTCCCATGGCCCTCTGTTGGACCAGCATCCTGTGTCTAAGTCTATTTGGTGATTTTAATGTCCCTTTACAGCACAGAGCAGTCGCTACCATGTAGAGAATGTGTTATTTTGGTAGAAACGATCCTGCCAATATGGAGCCCTTGTAAGTGGGGGATGGGACGGGAAACGCAGGCAAAGTTCAAGGGTGCATTTCCCCCAGACTCCGTGAATAAAGACATCAGTCAACAATGACCTCAGACAAACAGGCAAAATCACATTTCCATATAAAGAAGAATTGGATGCAAAAAGAGTCACTATAAAAACACACAAGGAAAGAAAGAAATCGAGGGTGGACACAGAAAAAATAAAATAAAAACAAGAATGTGACTTTCTGATGTCGGAAACCACTGTTAGGGCTGTAAGGAGCCGCTGAACTCAGACCACAAGGAGTTAAGTCTTAGCGAGCAGCACTGACTGATAAGTCCAGGGCACATTCAGCATTATTGTGTTAAAGAGAATAGCAGTCTTATTACAACAGAGAGCTCCATATACATTAGTGCCCACACAATGTCACCTGGCTGTGAATTCAGCAGAATTTTGTTCACAGAATAGTACAGTTTTACCATTGTTCTGGCTTAGAACTACACGTTCATTAATAGAAACAGTATCTCTGGCATGTCTCTGCAAAGCTAAGTTCCCAAAAAGGCTCATTATGGAATATGGCCCCACAGCCAGTAATGGCAGTCATTACGACAATGTGCATTAATATCAAAGGATCTGTGATTCTTTTTACATTTTTTCCCCTGGTATCATCAGTGATTCTCTAAATTGTGGATCTCTCTTGGTGTAATCAGGTGTCCTTGTAGCCTCTATCCATATGCAAAATTTCATTGCAAGTTGCTAAGGTTTGCAGAGGATATGCCCAATAGAACGTTGGTTAGCTACCATTTTGTTTCAAACTGAGATTCAAACTGAATCTCAAGTCAGGTGACTCTCCCATCATTTAGTGGTATTTAGCCCACATCAAATCAATCAGGTGCTTCAGAATTTATACCGAAGACAAAAATCTTTCCTTTCTGTATATGGGGCTGGGATGGTTTGGGGTAGCCACCGAAACTGGAGAAAGGAGAGAAATTGATACATACAAGAAAACTCAGTGGGAAAGAAAAAATGACTGCCAAATTTGTGTTTATTACTGTAGAGACTCCTAATCTTACCCACATCCGGTTTTCCCTCCCTCCCGTAGGTGGGCGATGTGATAAGCCCTAGCCCATGAAACAACCATGGAAATTGTCAGTTGTTTCTGGGCCCAGTTATAGAAGAGTATATGACACCTGTACCCTTTCTCTTCCTTTTCTGCAATATTCTTATAAAAATTCACCAAGCCAAAAAAAAAAAAAAAATTCACCAAGCCATATATTTCAGAGTGCTTTTCTGTGCATGCATTACACATTGTTTAAAACACCATAAAAATGAGAGGTGGTCCTGAGTAAATTCTGCCATCCATGGAACCTTTCGCTTCTAAAACTTCTGCCTTCTGGTGGCTTCATTCACCAACATTCTTATTTTTGTCTGTGGGATAAGGAACAGAATGTCTTCTCCCCAGGCCCAAGGGCCAACAGAGGGAGAAGATCAGAGCCTCACCAGAGTTTTAGGTGTTCAGGATTTATTGAGGAAGTGCCTTATAGAAAAAACTGGTGAAGGAGGGAGTGAAGCATGGCTGGGGTTGGGGGAGAGCTGAGCAAGGTTGTTATCTCAGGAAAGTCTGTCCTTGGCCTGATCTGTGGTAGGGGGTGAAGGGAGCTCCAGAGCATAAACAGAACTGCAGAGTTCTCACTCCTGCCTTTCATACCCCCTTTTTCAGTTAACCATTGCCTGTGGGCTCCCCCATCCTGGAAGTCAGTGAAAAGTCTCTTGACAAGCCTGTTCCCATCAGTGCAGGCAGATGTTTTAGAGAAAGGGACAGCTGATACCTACGAGCCACTGACCTACAGCAGTGGGGCATTCAGGCCCAGGACAGTGGATCCGAGCACGGCAGCACAGAACTTATTACAGTCCACCCCTTTCGTTATTCATGTCCACTTGCTTCTCACAGCAGGTGCACTCCATCCAGGCGTGGCTTCTTCAGGATTTTGGGTCACAATTCCTAAGGAAACTTACAAGAGGATGGTTAGCGAAATGAGTAACAGCCCCCATGGCTATAGCTGGTCCCAGGGCCATACGTAATCATCACTGTTGCCCATATTTAGTCATCACTGTCGCCCTCCTCTGCCACCCAGTGTAGATTCTCTTCACGTTTGGGTAGCACTTCTGTGGTTCCAGGTGACTTTCATGCAGGATCTAAGTTCTGACCACACCTCAATCAGGCCATGTTTCCTCTACTTACCCAACTGCAATTTGAATTGAGCCTGAAAGCACCAAGAGTCACCTCAAGAGGATCATCAAAATGCCAAACACATGGTGCCCAGTTCTCTACATGTACCAGCAGTCCCTCGTGATGGTCAGAGTCAGTTGCTCCTCCTAATACATTTTTCCTTGCCCAGTTGTCTATTGTCATAAGGAGACCATGTGACCAGAGAGGCAGCTATAGCTTTACAATTACCAGGACCCTTACGGTGTTTCTCAGTGTTAGTAGCCACCTCTAAAACATCAGAATATCTAAAATTGTGTGGATAGAATTCGAGCACAAATTTCTCAAATCAGTCACGAGGATGGACATGATGATGAATAAAGCCACGTCTATTTCCTGGAGCCATGCGTATACCTCTTACAGATATAGCATGTGTATATTGCATTAGTCTAAAAAGTCTCTGGGATCTTGAAATAGTGCCTTAACTCACTCATGGTCTCACATTCAAGCTGATGATTCAGCTGCTTTATGGAAAGCCTTTTCCACTATTCTATCAGGTTGGCAGCTAGTGAATGGTGTGGTATGGGGTAGAATCAGTGATCCCATGGTCACGCGCTCCCTGCCTCACCTCCTTTGCCATAAAGTGAGTCTTTGATCTAAAGGGATGCTGTGGGCAATCCCATGTCAGTGACTCAGACACTGCCTGGGCCCTTGTATAATGTATCGGCCAAGGGCTTGTGGGCAGAAAAGACAAATACATATCCAGCATATGTATCAAACTCAGTGAGCATGAATCACTGCTTTATCTAGGATGAGAGGGCACTTATATAATAGACTTACCACAATGCCTTTCTGGTCTGCTCAAGGAACTCAGATTTGACTTTCAGGAGCGGCAGTAGCTAGATCAGCTTCGGTGAGAGGAAAACCACGCTTTGGGCTCATGCACGGCCTCCATCTCCGCCTTCAGAATTGTTCCACTCAAGAGCCCATTGTAAGGGCAGAGGCTGACATCAACTGGCCAAATCATCTTATTTGTTTCAAAGTTGTTTAGCCCTTCTGCTATGGAAATTCTTGGTGTGTGGCCATATACAATACATGTAGATCTGGGCCACCAGCTTATTTGCATCCTATGGACACGCTCAAGCCTAGTCCAGTATGTACCCCTTCCATTCTATAATGGATGGATACTGGGCCTGTTTGACCTTATATCTTGGTTGGAGTGATAGGACCCAGGTCACAATAGGTAGTTTGGCATGTGCTCAATTGATATCTACTCCATATTTAGATGGTCTGTCTCTACCAGTACCCAATAACAAATCAAGAGATATTTTTCAAATGATGTATGATACTCTGCTACAGGTGGTAGGCCTTGCTCCAGAACACTAGAAGTCTGTGCTGGAATTTTCCTTTGGGGGTTTGGAAAAGCCTCTAGTCAGCAGTTCTTTCTAACCAGATACCTGTATGACCATGAAGTCCGCTGGATCCTATATCCAAAACAGTGGGGCTGCTGTTACTATAAGGACTTTTCTTGCTCTGGGTCCAATGCAAAACTAACAACATTCCATGTCATGTAATTAGTTAGAGAAATATTCTCAAGTATATAGTACACTGCTTTAAAAACCCAAAAGGCCACGGTACCTAGGTGGCTCAGTAAGTTGAGTGTCTGACTCTTGGTTTCGGCTCAGGTCATGATTTCACAGTTCATGGGATTGAGTCCCACATCGGGCTCTGTGCTGGCAGTGCAGAGCCTGCTTGGGATTCTCTCTCCCTCTCCCTCTGCTCCAGTTCCTCCCTCTCTCTCTCTCTCTCTTTCTTCTCTCAAAATAAATAAATAAATAAACTTAAAAAATTAAAAAATAACAAAACAAAAGTTTAACAATGGTCTTGCTTCTTTCTTAGTAGTGGTGGGTTCAAGGCACCCACTTTCCCCTTACTTTGCCCTTACTAAGAACAAGGTACTTGTTTGTTACTTTGGACAGCCTATCCTGGCACACCCCAACCCATTGGACACCTATAATCCTCACTGACGTGATGGGTCCCTGAATCTCTGTAGGAGTTAGCTCTTACTCTCTGGAGAATTTATCTTTCCAAGGTTTCCAAAGTACATGTCATAGTGGATCGATATTCTTCAGAATGTCCAGCCAATCCAGATCCTTTCAGACTATATATGACAGAGTGCAAGAGAATGAATATATCCCTCAGACTAGATCATGACTGTATACTGTTGTCCCTCCCATATGCAGGCTAACTGCTACCCTTCCTCTTTCCTTATAGAAACGAATCACCGTGAGATGGACCAGAGCCATCACCCCCATAGAGGGAGGAAGCAACATTAACTCAGACCTATAACCAATAGCCTTTGACCAAGCTGGGTATAACCTATTCTGACAGTAAATTGCTTTAGGTTTCTTTAAGGAAGTACTGGGAAATCACTACTTTATACACTTGCCTCCTTCTTACAGACTCTTAAGAGACTTGATCTTCAATCACTGGGTGTCTGAGAACTGGCTCCAATTTGGAAATTGGGCAACTGATCATGAGTTTCACCTGGGACCTCAGGTTTCTGTTCTCTTCCTCATCCCTGTTCTCTTATGATGTCATATTTATCAACTACTGGATAACCTTTGATGGATGCCAGATGTTGGAAATGTAGGGGTGAAAAAGATACAGCCCATAGCCTCCTGGAACTTTTCCCTGCCACCTTCTTTAGATCACTTTCTCTTAGCCGCATAGGCTAAAAGAACCAAATATGTAGATAGAGAATGTTGTAGATTCTTAGCAGCTAACATATTTGAAAGGAAAAAAATGACAATAATAAGAAAGGTTAATACTGAGGAATTATATTCTTTGATTTAATCCTCAAAATCCTGTAAGAGAGGTTTTTTTATTTTGTGGGTACAGAAACTCGTACTTATAGAAGTAGCCAAGGCTAACCTGTCTCCCCGAAGCTGTTTGTGATCAAATGAATATGAGAGAGATCAAAGTAAAAAAAGAGATTCCAGCTAGTTGTAATTTGGACGGGAGGAAGCCAAATTCCCCAGAATTCTTAATTCACCTGTCTAAACAACTTTTTTCTCTTATGATTCAAGCCAACCTGGGAATGACAAGAAGTTCAAAACTCAAGAGGATGTCACCTAATTCAAACATTTTTCCAGGGGAAACATATGCCATGTACTGAGCCCTGAAGAAAAAGAAAAAAATAAAATCTCTGTCATCCTTTACTGAAGGAGACAAAGCCTGTTGAGATGAACTTGTATACACTGAACAAGTAATGAACCACAGAAGGCTCAAAGGCCTTGTTGCACACTGTCTTTTTTTTTTTTTTAATTTTTTATAGCATTTATTCAGTTTTGAGAGACAGAGAATGAGTGGGTAGGGCCAGAGAGAGAGGGAGACATGGAATCCAAAACAGGCTCTGAGCCATCAGCACAGAGCCTGATGCGGGGCTTGAACCCACAAAACGTGAGATCATGACCCGAGCTGAAGTCGGATGCTTAACCAACTGAGCCACCCAGGCGCCCCTGTTGCACACTGTCTTAACCCTGTCCTGAATCCTGACAACATTTCAGTAGGTTTTGACTAGCATTGGAAAAATTAAATGGAACATAATTAAAGAGAATAGTATTAGGTAGAAAATACTAGGTTGCATCTCCTATAGGAAGAATACATGTTGGTTTTGTTACTCTGGATCGAGGAAAACATATTTCTTGCTGTGGGTTGTGGTCAAAGTTTTTGAAAAAAAGCTGCATAGAACCTATATTAAAATACTTTAACAAACAGACAAAACAAACAAGCCTCAGATCAAGGGAAAAGGAAACGCTGAGTTGGCATCACATAAAGAGAAAAGCGAATGACTAAAACAGAAGTACCCTATTACTTAGCCATCTGAGACTCATAGAACTACAAATGTTTCTCTCTCCTACAGCATCATCTCAATGAAAAATAACATAGATAACAGCAACAACAAAAGAGCTTCATGCTTCTAGATTTTGACTGTGACCCTCTCTCAGGTCCATCTAGGGGAGATACGTAATTGTGAGGGTCCAGTCACTTCAGTTCACTAAAGAACCTCCCTCTACCACCACTCACACACTGAACACTCACTTTATAGAGAAGGAAATGGCTTTGGAACAAGCCAGAGCAAGAGAGCCGCAGGTTAACAAGCGAGGGGAGAGGAGGCTGACCTGGGCTTGAGATACTTGCCAATGCTGCTTAAAGCAAGCAGCTGTCATTTTTAAAAATTTATCTATTTAGTTTGAAAGAGAGAAAAAGAGCGAGCATGAGTGGGGAAAGGGCAGAGACAGAGAATCCCGAGCAGGCTCCACACTGTCAGCTCGGAGCCTGATACGGGGCTCGAACCCTCGAACTGTGAGATTATGACCTGAGCTGAAATCAAAAGTCAGGAGCTTAATCGACTGAGTCACCCAAGCGCCCCTACAACTGTCATTTTTTATTCCCACTTGCCACCATTCTGATTGACCATACAAAAATCCAGGATTTCTTCCTTAGCAATCCATTCTGCAACATAAAGTCTCCTGGCTTGAGAAGTATTCCAGTATGGGTCAAAAAAGTATGAAATGAAAAAGAGGAAATGTGTAGGTTTTCAAAGCATTTTTTATACAGAAAGTGCTCTCCATGAGTCACGCTTCATATTGAGACAGCACTCCTCTTCCCAGATGGTTCCAAGACCCTCACCCTACTTACCATTGCCTCCTATTTGGGAAGCACCAGCAAGGATCCTTATGGCAGTTTCCTCAAGGCCCCAAGTCGTAAAAGAAGTCTGGGTTAAGTGCAGCCCGGAGAAGGACACTCCTGCTTCTAACCACCTTACACTACAATTCCAAAGTCACAAAGTATGTCAATAGCAGGTAGTTTTATGCTTGACTCATAAACTAAAACTCTGAGCTGTTGGAATGTTAGGAACTCAAGTCACACTGAGCAACTAGAAACACAATCAGAAACTGATCTGAAAAAGGGCCGTTGGAAAAACAGTCCTGGAGTTAGGCCCAGAACTTGTTTGTGCTGTGTCCTCACCCAGAAGTTTCTACGCCCCCCCCCCCCCCCCCCCCCCCCCCCCCCCCCCCCCCCCGCCCGCCTCCACTCCATACCAGCCTGGCTTCTCATCCTCACACCTCAGCAAAATGTCACCTTGTCACAAAGCCCGTCCCTGACCACCCTGCCTGAGTCAGGTCACCCAATCAATGCTTTCTCAGTGCATCCTACTCTTTCCCTTCACAGCACTGATCGCAATGAATAATTATATGCTGATTGATACATTCAGTTGTTTAATATCTCCTTCCCCAGGTGACTGGAAACTCTGTGTCAGCCTGTGGGTTCCCCCTGGACACCTGGCACTAGAAGATAGTGAGTGTTTATTGAAGGAGTAAATGAGTTCTGTTTATGAAACTGTAATTTTGTTACCTGTTACTGACCATTAAGCAATTGGTTTGCTTTTGAATTATTATTACCAAACTATTAAATATATATATATATATATACACACACACATTCGTGTTTATAGCAACATTATTCACAACAGCCAAAAGGTGGAAGTGACCCATGTGCATTGACAGATGAATGGATAAATTATGGTTTTATATACAATGGAATATCATCAACCTAAAAGGGAAGGACAATGTGACATGTCTTTGGATAACCTTGAGCACATTACTATCAAGTGAAATAGGCCAAATATTGTCTTGATCCACTTCAAATGAGGCATAGAGACAGCTAGGGGGAGAGAAGAAGAGAATCGGTGTTTAATGGGTCCACAGTTATGGTTTGGGAAGATGAAAATGCTCTGGAGATGGACGATGGTGATGGCTGCACAATAACATGACTATATTTAATACCACTGAGCTTCACACTTAAAAATGGTTGAGATGGTGAATTTTGTGTTACGTGTATTTTACCATCATTTTAAGAAATAAACTTTAAAAAGACTTTGAAAAGTATGAAGTATTTATTACTACAGTCACGGATACCTTTGGTATTGTGGCAAAATAGAACATATTTTGTATAAATGTTAACGTATAAATACTGAGAATGTTGGTCACATATGGAACGAAAGTTTTGTATTGTGGCTGATTTTGGTGGAAGTTTCTTCTCTTCCCTTGTCCAATCGGAGAGGCCCTCAGGCCAGCCCTGTTCCTGACACACGGCAGGTATTTAGATGTACACGCTGACTGCACGGCTGGAGGTATTGCATGACGCACACGGGTACACACAGGTGGGTAAAGAAAAGCATGTCCGTGATACAAGAAGTTGCTTAAAATGTGTTCAGGAAGCCAACATTCATATCCTAGATTTCGGTAGGATTACTTCCTCAACCCACTTCAATTCTGTTTTCTGGGGAAAGAATTTAACAATGAATGTTTTTAAATAATCAAATTTGGGGGAAATCTTAAATAAGAAAGGTAGAAGTTTCAACTGTATTTATTTCTGAAAGAAGAGTTTGTTCAAAAGATTCAAAAAATTGATCCTCATAATCTGAATGGCAGAAATGATTATTATCACATCTTACAGAAAAAAAACTACGTGCGGCAGACAGAATACAGTCCCTGTGCTTAAGGGCAGGGCCGAGAAAGTAACAGAGCAGGGGCAGCCGGGTTCCATGTTGTTAACCAGGAAGTTCTGCAGCATTCTGGAAGGGACAGGAAGTAAAGGGGAGAGGAAGAGAGGGGAGGAGCAGGAAAGGAAAGGAAGGGGAGGAGAGGAGAGGAGAGGGGAGGGGAGGGGAGGGGAGAGGAGGGGAGGACCTTCTAATTCATCTTCTTAAAACTGAAAAGCCAAGTCAAATCCAACGATTAGGGTTGAACACAAACAGCTCGGAGAGGGGCTTCCGCACCTTCCTCCAGGCCAAGGCTGACTCCCGCCCAGGGAGCCTCCCGTTTCCAGGCCGTGGCCCCGTGCAGCTGAGAGCCAGGTCCCAGGACACACATGGCCTCGCTCTTCCTGTAAAGGGGGAGAACTTCCCCCGCACTCCACAGTTTCCAGAAGGCTGCATTGTTCCCGAGGCCCAGTTTGGAGTTCCAGAAGACCTCATTTCCTGCGGTTGTCTGGCCTTCCCGGTAGGTGGGAACAAAACGCTCCCATTCTCCTCTGCTCCCATTGACCGCGTCCTAACGAGCCTCAGAAATGGTACTGAAGGCCCCCCGACACCGGCAGCCTCACTCACTACACGCTTGAACGCTGCGGGAGTGTAAGGTGCGTGTGGGCGCGGTGGGCGCTGAGGGGCAAGGCCGTGGTGGAGGTGGCAGTGAGGAGGAAGTCGCTGAGAGAGAGACATGATAGGTAAGAAAGTCCCTGGTGACTGTGTCTGGACGATACCAACTTACCTTACCCTTAAAAAACTCGATGGCGGGGGGCTGGGTGGTTCAGTTAAGCGTCCAACTTCAGCTCAGGTCATGGTCTCACAGTTTGTGGGTTTGAGCCCCGCGTCAGGATTTCCGCTGTCAGCACAGAGCTGGCTTGGGGTCCTCTGGCTCCCTCTCTCTCTCCACCCCTCCCCTGCATATGCACACAGGTGTGCGTGCTCTCTCCCAAAAATAAATAAACATAAAAAAAGAAAGAAAGAAAAAAGAACTCAAGTATACCCGAAAGTGCCATTGAATTGAAATTTATTCTAATAAATAAGTCTTACTGATATCAAGTTAAACCAGTTTATACATAAGGGTAACATTTAAAAAACAGCAATTTTAAAAGAAAAAAAAAACAAGAATGTGATTGGGGCGGTATGTTGACTAGCCCTTTTCTCTCTTTGAGACATAATTTATCATCATGGCAGGGGTGTCTGCCTGATCGGGATGCTTTTAACAAGTCTAAGGGAGGTTTTTCCGTGCCCCCGAGAACTGGTACGTGTGTACCCCGGGCAGACACCTGCGGCCCTGGGCCCCGATTTAGATTACACTAGCCAGACCTTCCTTCTTCCCCTTTCTGAACTCTGGCCATCCCCTGGCAATACAGACCGGCTCTCGGTAACGGTGAGACAGGCCAGACCCCGGGGGCCTGGCCACCAGGAAGCCAGAGCCACTGCACCAAATACTCTTCAGGATCCCATTCGAAGTATTGGCAATCTCTCTGTGAGGCCTGGACGTCTTCAAATTACTCTTACAACTTTTAAAAAGAATAAAACAAAAAACCTAGAACGTCAGACTGGGAAATGCAAACAATAGAAGGAAATGATGAGGACCCTACGATGTTTGAGCTCTAGGGAACAGGGCAGCCTTAGCGACAGGAATTTCAGACTCTCTCCCCTCCTCCACTCCACAGTCTTGTTGAGGTCAAGGTAGAGAAGCAAAAGCTGCAGTCTCTTCAAAAACCCAAGAAGTTCAGGGTTTTATTTTTTGCTTGATGCAATTTGCATCTCTTTTGAACCTTTAAAGTAAACAAACAAATGTCAAGATATTCGAAAAATAAGACAGCGTAATGACAAACGAACTTAGTATACATGTTCAAATAATAAGCTGGATGCTTCTCTTCAACTTCTAGATTCCTTTCAGATGACGTATCTCTAAACTTAAAGCACTGGGTTCAATTATTTGTCCGCAAAAGCGGAATATATCTACTAGCTGAACATCTGGAAACTCAGGGAAAGTTGTGTATTTACTGTATCTTTATCCAGTGTATCTTGAGTTTTGGGACCTCCTGTATTTATCTCTCTTTTTCTCAAGTCCCCTGCTTATTTTTTTCAACCACCAGATGGGATTTCCCTCAGGAACCATGGAATACAGCTCTCACTAGAACAACTGCCAGAAAATAAAGTCACACTCAAAGTTATACCTGACATTGGTGATTGCGTGAAGTGCAAGCTCTCTAAATGTCGTAAGAGGGAAAGACTGTTAGAGACTTGATAAAACTTCTTAACCAATGATTCTTGGTCTCCCAAATGTTGAAAGGTCAGTCCTGGTTTCTCAGGCTCCAAGTAATAAAGGGTCGCTGGTTTCTGAGGCCTGGAGCTGTGGACCCAGGCTCTAAACTCTCCCCTTGAACTTGGGAATGATAGAGAAGGCCTCGCAGAGTGGACCCAGCCCGAGGAGCCGTGAAGGGACCACGTCTCCATCTCAGGGACCCAGCCCAAGTCTCTCAGAGGTGATTTGCAGGGTGGTGTTTTTCACTCTTGAGTTTCAACTTCAGGCTTCTCCATGTTAAGGTCGTTTATTCTACAACTTGGTTCTTGTGTCAAGTCTGTCCAGCCCTGATGTATAGCAGAAAACACAGCTCTCCTTCACCAGCCTGACGGAGCTCCTCGCTTGAGCAATAAGCAAGGGAACCGAACCCACTGTAGCCAGAAGTGACACCACAGCTGCGTGGTCTCACCTGAGCTCCTCTCCCCCCCACCCCACCCCACCTCACCTGAGCTTTTCGACCAGACACTGTATGGCTGTTCCAAATCTTGGCTGGACTGAGGACAGGGGAAGTGAGGAAGGACGGGCCCGCACTCACCCCTGCCGGAAGAAATCCCTCAGCTTTCCCTCCTCACCCAGTGACGAGATCAGTAAGACAGTTTCCTTCTGGGAAACCCATTCTGCTCTCGGTTCTCTCCCGAGCCCCTCCCCCCGCCATCCACGATTCCCCCTCTCCGAGGTGAGTCCTCAGGAAGCTCTCACTTGGTCAAACCCAAGCTCCCATGTAAAGGAGAAGGGACAGGCGGTTGCTCTGCTGCTCACAGAGACACACAGTAATGGAACAACCCACGTGCGGTGCTGGACGGGGGTTCTGATACGTCCCTTCCCACCCTCTGTCCTGGAGCTTGGCAACACCCCCCACTGTGGGCAGGGTACTTCCCCGCCTCTCCCTCCACGCTGGGCTCAGCCCCGTGACTCACTCGGGCAATGGGACGATAGCCCACACGGCGCAAGCGAAGGTGTTCACTGGCTTGTTCTCTTGCAGTCTCGCCGCTGTCATGAGAAGGACAAGCCAGGGCTGGCCCGCTGGCCCGGGAGGAAGAGGAAGGGCACCAGGCCCAGAAGCATTTCCAGCTGGAGCTCAGGGCCTCAGACTCATCAGAACCAATGCAGGACTGTTGTTTTAAGTTCTTGAGTTCGGGGGAACTTTGTTAGATAGCATTCTGAGGCAATAACTGACCGATACATCCTTTTGGATTTTCCCATCTGGGTCTGCAAACTTCTTGGACTACAATTTCCTTAAGAATAGAAGACACCTGGGGCACTTGGGTGGCTCAGTCAGCTGAGCGTCCGACTTCAGCTCAGGTCATGATCTTACAATGCATGAGTTCGAGCCCCGCATCGGGCTCGCTGCTGGCAGCCTGTCAGTGCAGAGCCCGCTTCCGATGCTCTGTCCCCTTCTCTCTGCCCCTCCCCCACTTGCGCTCTTTCAAAACGAAGTAAATATAAAAAAAAAAAGAATAGAAACTTTAGAGCCACCTGAACGAGAAATAAATAGCCTCTCACTTATTCTCAGCCCTTCCTCTGTCACATGACAGACTTGCCAATGGCGGAGGTACCTGCACACAAAGAGAAGCAACCCTCTGGCTGCCTTCATTCATGTCCAGCTTGTCTTTAGAGGCGGGAGGCCCACAACAGGTCCCTCAATCCCTCAGGACCTAATTGGTGATTGACGCCTCCCATCGAGAGCCATCAGCCCTTCCGCCGGCACCATTTCACTCTGGACTGTATCACACACATTACCCATAGGGGGTGACAGAAAGTCGCTCCAGAAAGGGATCCTGACCCACAGAGAGGCTATGGAAGACAAGGTATCAAGACCCTAGAGAAGCCACAGCCCATTGCCAAGTTGGTTTCATCCTCTTCCGGTTTACTCTTCGTCTAAAAAATCGACCATTAGGTGCTTAATGATGAAGACCACGGAGGCAGGGATATTTTAACACAGGACTCGGCACCCGCACCTCTTTTGCCACCTGGCATGTCCTAGCCCCCAGGGTACAGGCTGTCCCCTTGGGAAGGAAGCAGGGCTTACCGATAGCATCATCGTTTTGTTATCCTTGATGCCACACACAAGTCCCGGGCTTGGGCTCTGCTTTCTGAGCCAGCTATTTCTGGCTGAGTTACACAGCCAGCTCCCTCACCTCACTCTCTCCAACATCCAGCATCTCTGAACCTCTGTGAAGATCAGGTATCTTTGTCTGAAAACCTAACCCTTCCATCACTCATTGCCTCCATATTTTATCTTATTTTGTCTCCTTGGCTCCTTCTACCCAAATCCAGAAGACTCTGAGTATTCTATCTTCTCTGTCATAAAACCTTAACTTATAATCTCCCCCCACCCCCATTGGCCGCTTTCATTTAGAACATATGCCAATTAGTGTTTTCTTGCTTTACCTGCACTTCGCTCCTCCTAAAAGCCCACCCGTTTCTACAAAGGATTTCATCGGGAAAAGCCACGAATCACCTTGTCCCCATTTTGTAGTGAATTATTTATGTCACTCACGCTGTTAGATTTCACGTTCTTCAATGGCCAGGAACTGTGCAATTGCTTTGGTTTGTTTCCTCTGCTCTGCAGTTCTGTGTTCATTTACTACTCCAAACAGAAAATAATGAGAGAGCAACAGTGTAAAACCCCAAGGAATAAAATGGTGATTTTCTTAAAAGGCACAGAAAAGAATTGGGACACTGTGGATTGTTCTGGTGTTTTTCACCCTCGAAAGTATGACAAAAGTTGCCCCTTTAGCATTTTACCATGGACAAGTCCTAGTGTGGAGATGGATGGAGCTGGGGGTGGGGAACCCAGAGGGACAGTGGCCTCTGGGTGGGGAAGGGTCCATCCCTGGGAAAATGGTACCAGAAATCCATGCTAAGAGCCCAGCAAATGCATACTGAGTGTAGTGTGGGTTCCCAATGACCAGGCTCCACGCCAGAGCAGCTACTCTAAAAGCCCCAGAGGGAGAGCAGAATTTTGCCCAGCGCTCCATGTGTAGAAGGAGAAATGTGAAGTGTGCTAAGTACACCCACGTGTGCAAAGATGCAGTCACCTTTAACGGGTCATAATCAAACGTAGCTATCTCTGGAGCTCCCCATCTCCGCTGATGTCGAAAAGTTCAGTCTTGCTAATTTCATGATAATTTAGTCAATTCTAGATTATTTCTTTAAGT